TATCTTAGGAAGTATTTCTCATTCCTAAAACGAATTAAGTTCAATCATGTTTAATTGTTTCCTATTAGTGTGCCTTGACTCAAATCCAAGTTTCACAATAATTTTATAATTCAGTTTAGGGGTTCTTTAAAAATTAGAATCCAATTCATAGGTTTGGTTTTCCTATTTAATTTCAGTTTAAAAACAAGTTTCTAAAGAAATTTCGGCAGCATGCCGGCATAAATAGGAAAAATGTCAAACCTGCAATTCAAGTTCAATTTCAATATATATTCTCCAGAATCCATCAAAATCAGTTTCTAATCAATTAAACAAGTCGAATAACTAAAAACCCCCAAATTTCATTCGATTCCAATAATAACTGTTCAAACTCGAACCCTAACTCAAAATTATTCAAATCTAACTAAAATCAAACTTTCTCAAGCTTAAAATTCGAATCAAAGAGTGGGTTTCAAAGGGTTTTACCTCAAATCAGTTGCTCGAGCTTTTTGTCTCTCAATTTATCTGTTTTTCATTTTTTTTTTTGGTGATTCTCGGCCAAACTGCCGAGAGAGGGAGAGGGAGAGAGCAACCCGGAGAGAGAGAGAGGACGCCGGCGGGAGGAAGCTCGGAGAAGGAGGTGGCCGGCGGTGGAAGAAAATCGAGAGAGAGAGGGGGGGCTGCGCTGGTGCACGGGAAGAACCAGATAAGAAGAAGAAGAAAGAAAAGAAAAAAAAAGAAAAAAAAGAGTGGGCTGGCGCACGGGAAGGGAAAGGGGGAAAAGAAAAAAAAAGAAAAGAAAAAAGAAAAAGAAAAAGAAAAATGGAAAAAAGGGAAAATGTATTAAATTTAAGTGTGTTTTCTAAAAATCTTTGGGGTGAAATTATAAATACTGAAAATAACTTAAAGTCCCTTGATTAATTATGAAAATCAAATTAGGCACACTAATAATCCACAGTTTAGCATAATTAAACATGTTTAATTCTAGAGGGCGTTACATATAGTAAGTAATAGTAAAATTAAACAAATTATGTATAAAAAATCATCAAGTTGTAACAAATCTATAATTACTTGAAATTTGTCGGCGGAGAACCTATTGTAACAACGATCCCAATGAAGTGGATTCCTCATATTATTCGGGAGACTGTCTCTACCATAGCGTTTGAAGTGGCGGTGCAGAGAACTTTTCCAGTCCTTGTAGCACTTTGCTGCCTCCTTATCAACTACGGATATTAGAATACCGTTCTTATAGTTGTAGTCGATGTTAAACCAGTCTTTGTAAAACAATTTCACATCGTTAAAACGCATTGTTATGTTTAACTTTAGTATAAACTATCCAAATTATTAAGCAAAACAAATACCAGCATCCGGTTCTGAATTTCCTCTTGTCTATGTCGCTAATGTCTTTCTCATCCCATGTTTTACACAAGGACATGGTTTCTACATTTTACACAAGGACAGCTGATATGGCCACTGGAAGTTTCATAATTTTTGGCGACCCCAATAAAAGCAGATAACCCATTCCAATATTGATCTAACAATCAGTTCCTCAAATAAATCAAACTTTTATCAATCGGCATTTTAACTATACATAACAACAGACATAACAATTTATTAATGTGTTTAATTAATTTTAATTTTACTCTTTATTAACACAATTAAATTTTATTAATTAAAGTTTGTTAAAGAACTTATTAAAATTCTCGTTTTCTAACTAAATTTCGGCAGTATAACGGCTTATTTTTCTTATGATTTAAAAATTTAAACCTGCAGAAAAACAACTTTAAAAGATTTCAGCACACCATAGCTGCAAGATGTGCCACCCAGAACAAGAATCACAAACATATACTAAATTTCAACAATATAAGAAAATCATAATTTAAATATCAAATTCATAATCCCGAATTCATACAACCAAAAACTACAACAATTTTGAACTAAAAGTACATTAAATATAAAAAACTTACAAAGTTCAAACCCACTAAATGGGGGCTGAAAATAGCGGGATTACGTCGAAGGAATCGGACAAACAGCGACGAAGGTGAAAACTCAAACGCCTACATCAAATTGAAACATCGAACATAATTTTCAAACACTGAAAAGAGTAACATATAGACACAATTCTTGATTAATCAATGCAAGTTTAAATTTTCACATTCTTCGAACCATAAGAAATGACTAAACTCGAACAAAAATCCATAACAAAATCCCCAATATTCAACTCCTAGAGCATCAAAATTCTCGTAAGTCAATCCAAACACATACTCGATAAGCGAAATAAGAGCAATAAAATTTTCTCGGACGTGCACGTTTGATCTTCCATTTTCTCGGCAACCAAACAAAAACAAAATTTACAAAAAGAAAAAGAAGGAGAAAACCCAAAC